TGGTACGAATCGGCTTAGTGCGAAACATATTTAATTCCGACGTGATTATCTCCCTTTGACTTTTCTGCGGCATTTGTAACGATTGTAAAACGTTTTGGGGGAAAACGATCTTCGAAGAGTTTTTAAGTTCTAAATAGTGGCAAAGAGGTTTGTTATGCAGAATTGTTGTCTATTTTATAATATTTTGACTATATTTTTCTATGGAGTATTGTATTGTTGCATTTCGAACCAAATGTTTGATATTCTAAGTCTCAGAATTCGATTGTGTTTTATCTTTTCAGTTTTCACGTGAGCATTGCGAACAATACAATCGAAATTGCGGAAATAAACTGTATTAAGCTCTCAGTGTATGTCTTTGTCAATCGGCCAGATTGCGCGCCATCAGCTCGATACCCTGAAAGGCGACTGGTCGCCATAAAAAGGGTTACGCCTCAACGCGGCACTGTAAGTCAAAGTCAAAGGTTATTCTTTTGTAAAGAGCTATTTATACGTATAACCATATATAATATATAAAGAACCTGTAGCAATCTTTTAGTATGATAGATTCAGCTTTTTAACACAGTGGCACTCGTTGATAAAAATATTTTTACACCCACGGTAACCGTTTTTCGTGAACTGGATATAACTTCGTTAACTTAAGAACACTATTAAACACTATCTATTTTATAATTGCTTTTATTTCTGTTGATAAACTGCATATCTGACAAATTTAGTTAATTATATCAGTCAACTCAGCTTTATCAGAGAGCTCACCAATATACATTGTAAAGAGAGGAAGGGAACGGAATATTTATGGTTTGAAAACATTTAAATCGAGTAGAACTTTTTAACAATAATGTCTCTTTCAACTGAATAAAAACGATAGGGCTATTTGGGACTATTTCTTATCGATGTGGTCATTGGCTGTAAATGCATGGATTATTGCACGCGGCATGACCTGCAGATGTCCTCAACAGGCTTTTTGTAGCATTTTAAGATTTAAAAAAGGACCACACATTAAAATCTAAAACATGATAAACATGACGCATATACTAAATAAGTGAATTATCTGATATGTAAATAAAGAAGTAAGTCATTTGACAGTTGAAGGATAAAAATTGAATATACTCTTCAAATGTAATCGTAATTTTACTAAGCTTATGTTAGCTATCAATTATTCAATGGACGCATCAGTGGCATATGGACCCCAGTCATAGATCTTGCCGATGTTGCTATTACAGATGTTAATGTAAATATTTATATAATTATTGATAATCATTGTTATTTCCGTCTTTTTGAATGTTTTGTTTCAAGAAATTTGACTGTGATCGATGGCTGTTGGTTTGTAAAATCATTTATCTGTTTACTATTTTCTACTTTGTTTACTCCACATGGCGTCCATTCTCGTTCTTATTCATGGCTATTTTGGGTCTTTTTGATAAATAGAGAATCATAAGTAATGCAACTAAGTAACAATACTATCAGATTTACACGGCAAAGTTCCAAGTTCAAATTGTGATTTCGTTTATCAAACTCTATAGAAATTTATTATACAACAATTCCAGAAAAAATATATACCTTTTAAAAGTCTCTCTTATGAGGACAGAAGAACCTATTCGTCACATTCACGAGTGTCAGTGTTTGTCAGTTACTCTTTACAAAAATAAACTGAAAAAATACCTTTAGCTTTACAACACTCGCGTTAAAGTGTAACCCTTTCCATAGCATACAAAGGTGTTTTTTATTTTAACTCTTTCTCTCACTGAGAGCACATATATTTCTTATCAATTTCGCCATTGTGAAATAGAATAAAACACATTTTACTACATAGGACAAGATGAGCAATACTTTAAACATCTTCAAAACGAAACCAAAATATTATTTTCCGACAGGACTAAATCTACGTGATTTGACGTGCACTATTGCGATACAAGTAAGTGTTATTGCTTTAAGGAACAATCAGTTTTTTCACAATCTCTCTGTGAAAGATCATCAATGAAAAACTAAATTGTAGAAAGAGAACGGTAGGCATGTTGCTTCGCATTTGCAACGGATTCTAAAATCTGCTTTAAACTGTAGTCCTTTTTTTCGACTTGGAACTGGTGCCAGAATTGACAATTGAAGAAAAATGTAAGATTTATGTCATTCATAATAAAAATATGAACATATTTAGGTAGAGTTTTGCCTTCCGTACTCCCGGTTGATGTAAACCTGACTTTTTAATCATGGCGTAGACCAGATAACGCCAGAAAACGAAATAGCTTGCAACTGAAGCCCGCTCTAATACAAGCAACTTCCAAGGTTATGCAAAGTGTTTGATAAAACGGCTTATAAACTGACGAAGATCCAATATTCTATGGAAAGCTTATATTTTTCCCCGTAGACTGGTGCATATCCCAAAGAAATTGGTACAGAAATAAAATATTTACGGCTATTTTCTTTTCCGAATCGAGCAACATTTGTCTTGGAAATGATGCCGAAAATGACGTCAATGTCACGTGGTATTGCCACACTGAAATTCAAATAAAGTATTACCTTTGCTTTTCTAGGTGGATTGTTAATGCAGATATACATAAGGTAAAAATATGAAATAACAGTGACAACTCTTTTAATTACTCATACATACTGTACATGTATAATATCAGGTATTCTGGAAACAGTCAATTCATTAATTTCAAATTTCACTCAAACTAATCTGCATAAAATGTTAACAGTTCAAACTTTACATAATAATAAACTGTGTAAACTATGAATAAGTGAATGTCATAACAAGCAAGGACATTTTCTTTGGAAAAAAGTTTTTCAGTTAGGTACTTGTACTGGAGAAAGCTCTCCTATTTTTCACTGATAGCCATGCATCTACAGCTTTATCAAAATCAAAATCAGCTATGTCAACTTTGTGCAGAGATATCCTCATTAATTTATTCAGTCTGTTAGAGGACAATCTATTTCTGTCTGATGATTTAATATCATTCTGGGTAGAAAACCCCCTTTCACAGTCAGCAGTTTGTAAGGGTGCAATAAGAGCAAGCTCAGCAAGTTTTAAAAGATTTGGAAACATCTCCTTGTGATACATAAAAATCAATTTCCACAAATTATATATATTGTCAGTTGGATACCTTTGTTGAATTACAAGAGGTTTTAAAATTTCCCACTCAATCCTTAATTGGTTACTATCAATGTAAGGTTCACTGTCTGTGTCATTATTACTTGAACCATAGAAATCACATAGTTTATTAATTTCATTTTTTCCATGGTCAGGAATATTCTGCACAAAGGATATACCTCTCAAACCAAGGACTGCCAGAGCACTTATAACTGATGTATCTTCCTGTGGAAATCTAACATTAAGTTGAGCAATTATTTTTTGAATAAAGTCACTTCTTATGTTACTCAAATGTTTTTGCTTGTTTTTACTTGCTGAGATGCTATGATCTCTCAAGTCAAGTCCATTCTCAGTCAATGCTGTGTTAAACAGTTGCATGTAGTGACCATTATTCTGCTTTAAGTGTTCAAGCTGTGAGATTGTTGACTGAATAAGTGGTTGTACTAAAGAAATATCAATGTCTTGTTTCTGAAAGCTGAGACTCAGTTTGGTAAGTATTGGCATTATGTCCATAAAAAGGTAAGTTACACCCACAAATTCAAACTGGGTTAGCTGAGAATGAATCCCTTTTGCAGTTCCACCTTTCTCAGCTTGCTTTTCTTGCTCAAAATAAGTAACTAAGGAACCCCATGTGTGAAATATTGCCTCAAGGGCTGAATAAAATGCAAACCAGCGTACACTGTGAATTTCCTTGATTTTTAGCTGTTTGTCATTCAAAACACTTTCAATTTTAGACAGATTTGCAGTTCTCAGTGAGGAATGTTTAAAATGGTAGAAAATATTTGTCAAAATTTCCTTGTACTTTTTTAGATATGGAATACTCTCAGCTGCTTGACTTGTGCATAAAGCTAGCTTGTGTGCCACACAGTGAATGTTAACAATAAGTGGCTGATCACTTGAAAGCCTAGCACTAACACCAGACTTTTTACCAGTCATAACTGCCGCTCCATCTGAGCCAAAAAACATTACATTACTGACATCCATACCCTTTGCACTTACCACAGATTTCAATGATTGGTACACAGTTTCAGCATCACCCTTATCAATAGTATCATTCTCAATAAAATGAGTTTCAGGCTGAAAGTCAGTGCATTCAGGAATAAACCTAGCAAATATGACCAACTTTTTCTGAACTGAAACATCATCACTCTCATCACACATTAGAGAAATGGCGCGGGCTGAAGCTAGTTTCTGTTTCATACCATTTTCTATAACATGATTTAAAGCATCTTGAAATTCTTCAGCAGCCCTCTCGGACACATAGGTGGCATTATCTCCAGAATGCAAAGTCAAAATATCTGGGCAACCTTATAGTTTAAGAAGGCTTAAAAGAGAACTGTACTTCAATGTTGCAATTTTTTCTTTACACATCCAGTAAACTGTACGCAAAGCACTAATAATTGAGCTTTTCTTTTTGTCAAATGCAGACTTAAAAGATGCTTGAAAAACTGACTGACCACGTTGGTCAATAAGGGCATTCTGATGGTCAGAAGAAGACATGTGTCGCTCAAGAGTTGAAGTTCTATAGTTGACACAACCTGTAACAAACGGATTTTTTCCCTCATTTTAATGCATAACGAACATTGCATACATTTTTTATCGTCATCAAAAATAAGCCAATTTTTAAATCGGTCATCTTTGAGCCATTTTCCTTGAAATTCACGCCTTTGAGACGATTCAGAAGGGCCGGGGTCGGACTGGGATGTACATGGAACACTATCAACATTTTTCGTCGGCTCTTTATCGGGCGACTTCGATTTTTTTGCATTTGAATTCGGTAAAAAGAAGTCGGAAATTCTTTTCATCGTGTGCGCTAAATTTAGAACTGAGCTGCTGATATAACGCTATAGCAACCGACTGGTTTACGATGCGCGGGCATATATTTACCACTCTTGAAAAAATCAATACTAGCACAGTCAACAGGTGCGTGAATAATGAGCGTAAAGCGTAAAAATAAACAGAAAGTACCTTAAATACCGTAATGGTATTTTCTAAGCGAATGCGCCCGTCGGGCCCACAGTTAAATTTGTTTTGCGCCGGCAGTCATTTTAGGGAGCCAATGGCGCAATGGCGCGCTCTAGATTGAACACTGGTCGTGCGTTATTTTTTTCATTTTCCTTTGCAACAAACAAGATAAAACGATGACACTACTTTTGTTTTCTGTCGTTTTCTTTAAAGAACACACGACCAACATTAAATTTAAGTGAAACAATATCTTAGACCAAACATGAAAGTACTCACCAATTTGTAATTGAAATAAAAAAAAATAAACAAAATGTGTCTCACCCGTGACTACATTTTGAAAAAAAATAAGTTGCAAAAACTACATTCAGAAAAAAAATCAATTATAGTTGTGATTTTTGGAAATGTCCAAACAAATAGTGTCTAACAGTCATCAACAATGTGATCTAAAATAGTTTAGTCGCACCTCTAATATACCTGTGTCCAACAAATTTCTTTAAATGGTTGTAAATATATACTATAACGTCCTGTTAAGACGTATTTTTAGAGTAAAAATTTCTTCACTTTTTTTTTCTTTCTTTTTTTACAAAATAATGATTTATTTTCCCGACATGTTTTCTTTAACAATTATATCTTACCAATTTTATTATATAGGGTTGACATGATATGTACAAAGTTTTTTGTTTTAAATAGCTGATTTAAATATTTTTATTTTATTTGTAATGTTATTATTTCACTACAACTTAATATCTTAATTTGGTTAACTAGTTAAAAACAATAAAATAAGATTTTTACAAACATTTTTTTCAAAAGAAATTGATAAAAAATAAATACTAAAGTTATGTAATGATGCAAATGATGATGTACTTGTTGTTTCATAATATTTACATTGGGAATTAAATTACACACATGTATGAAATACACTTGATAAGCCTTAACAACACAGCCTAAAATGCATTGATTGATCGTTTGAGGTCTTATAAGAAAATCATTCATATGAATTAAAATCAATAAAATGTTATCAATGTTATCAATTAGGTCGTAAAGCTTTCCTGCTGTGGGAAAAACTAAGAAACAATCTAAAATTATTAAGTTGATTAGAGTATTTACAAAAGGTCAAGTTTATCATTATTTGGAATACAAGGAAATAAAATGTATCAGAAACAATTCCAGATATGTATAGTTTGGAGTTATATAATATATTATCACTGAGTTTGATCATTTATCACTGCGTTCTGTCAGAAATTCAAAATTGAAACTCTTCTCTGAGTCAAAGTACCTATTATATTTTCCCTCCTAAAGCAGTTTTTTTTACCATAAACTTCAATATATCATTACTGGACGTTAATTAAATTCCTGCTCAGATTTTATTGACTGATATAGATGTCATTGCAAAAAAAGAATATCATAAACTATGTTCATTGCGTATTAACGAAATATTAATATCTTTTAACATCTTTTCGCTAAATAATATTGTCGTGAAAATAATGATTATCCTGCAATTATGAGTTTCTGTCAAGTTTAACCAAGAAACAACAAATATCATAATATCATAATGATAGAAGGTTGACATGATAAATTATATCTTTTGTTTGATTTTTGATTATTGATTTTACACTTGGGAGTACTCTCCTGATTTTGTCGATAGCTACCTACCGAGAACGGTGATCTCCCCTCTTCACGTGGTACTCTTTGATCACTTCAACAATATATTATTTTATTATGGAGGAATAAATCATAAACTTGTACACACTTAATGTTCTTAATTAGAGGAAACTTAATAGTTGATGCTGAATGCTTGTTCATTTAAAATTAAATTCTAAATCTCTCCCTTTTTCAGGTTTATGACCTGTATTCATTTGTCGTATTAACAAAATAAAACAATGCTCTCCGATCAACTGTAGAAATGTAGAAGACATGAAAATATAAACCTAGTTATGTCGTTAACATTATATATTAACAACCTTCATACATAAAGCATTTAAACATTTGTCATTAGTACATTTATACTGATGTTGTATTACAATACTTCTAAGGAAATTATTCAGTAACAAGACATTGTTCACACTTAAAGAGGTTTGTAATTTTTGCTCTGTTTAAAGGAATGCCTAGAGGGATAACATTAAAAAAAGGCGTCTAAGACTTACTTAAGCACTCGTTACTGTGGTACTATAATTGCTACATTTTCGTATGTTATAATTCGTGTAAAAGGTTTTATTCACAGCAAGTCTTTTGGCACTCAACATAATTGATAATTGGCTACTATTAAGAAGGTATATTTATATAAATAGAACACGATACAGAAGGTATTTCAACATTTGACTATATGTCGCTTGTAGTACCATTTCGATCATCTCTTGCGTATCAAGTGTTGCCTTAACATTTATTCAGACTATGTTTTTCACTTTTAACGTTCGCAATCAAAACAATGACAAATACTGATAATATATATATTTATATCGAACATAACAACACACAGCGGTCAGATGTAACACGGAAACCACGCTAGACATACTGGATTCACCGACTGAATACGTTTGAGCCATTAGGAATCAATAAAGGAGACTTATTTTAGCACGAAGTCTCGCCTATATTTGACAAACTGCTTTAAACCTTCCTTTAGAAATCAGGCGGTGCCTGGGAGGACACTAGTTCGGTGCCTGGGAGCATCTCTATAAATTTCACCCTATTGAAAATTTCCAATTCATAAAATAGCCTATTGGTTGCAGCTTGCATATCTTACATTATACTTTTAGTAAATAAAACTTTATTTAGTTTTATTTTTCAGTTTTTGTTAAAAATGTTTTTTTTAATTCTTAAGATTCGTTATGCCATATTGTCCGCAGGCTATATTTTCTTTTGTAAAGTATAACACAATGACTCTTCAATAACGTTTTTTTTTTCATAATCGATGCAATTTTATCACCTTTCTTGCGACTGTTTTTCAGTTCAACTTTTGATACCATATAGTACAAACGCATAAAGATTTTGTGCTCTATTGTGTGCACATTATACATGTAATACATCCCTGATGAAGGCGTAATACCCTGAAAGTACTTGGGTTTTATACTTTAGCACTGTATGAACGTTTATTTACTCCAAATTTACTCCAAATTTATATATATATATTTGTCGTTCGAATGCGCATCATTATATCACTCGGGCTACACCCTCGTGATATTATTCCCTGCATCCTTTCTCCAAACAGTGATTTTACTGAGCGATAAAATCACCGTTTGGGATCTATTATTTCTGAAATATAACATCCTTTCCTTTTACAGACGTTCTAGGGTCATAGATTTTAATCTGTTACAATACTGATGGAGAAAATAGTCCGATCTAACACTCATTATCTGTTACGGGAATTCATATTTGTTATAATATAACAGAAATCCATGATGACATGTGACACGAACTGATACATTGAGTGAATGTAAAAGTTTTGTAATTCATGTATGCATATTTGTTGATAGAATATTGGTTTAATCACGGATCATTATTACGGAATAAAACAAAGCTCTCTTGTCAAACTCAATAGAAGGTAAGATTTTTTATGAATATGCATGAAGTACGAATTTAGTGTTAACTACAGAGGGACACCAGAGCATTTTGAATTTACTTTTTTTGTGTTTGATAAATAGTAAACCTATGTCATCACAAATAGTTAATCTTTTATCATCACACACTGACTATTTATTGATTAATTACCTTCCAAATTTAGTACTTGCTAGATTTGTTATTCAAAAAGTCCAGAATTCTTATTATATTTTCAAAATTCTAAATTCTAGTATAAAGATATATTGTGTTATTGTTTCGAAGTATATTAAGAGGGGATATTTTTCGTTTGAGTGAAATATGGAATATATTTTCACGAAACATGATAAAATGCCACATATTTTCACGAGCCGGGACGGCGAGTGAAAATATCAGGCATTTTATCATGTTGAGTGAAAATATATACCATATTTCAAGAAAAGCGAAAAATAACCTTTTTATTTAATTTCATTATCAAAAAAATGTAAGAATATCCCTGCTTGCTACGCAACTGCAATTGTACACAGCGCAGTAATATATTGATTAATTATAGATGCGTCTTGTTTTGCACGCGATGTTTGACGCTACATTGTGACGTCACGTAAACAACTCTTCAAACGTCTGTACAGCGTTAATGACTGAATTAAAGATATCGGTGTTCGGATTCATTTTCTATGTTAGACCATTTTCTATCATTCTAGATAGTTTCCAAAACAAAATTCAACAAAGAGTTGTTTTTATTTATCAGATTTTTTAAACAGAATGACGAAAGAAGTCCCTTACAATAAATAGTTTTGACACCGCCCACTTTCATATTTATATTTCACATTTATTTTTTACAAATATGAAATATATTTGACTGACATTAAGAGGGGATATTTTTCGTTTGAGTGAAATATGGAATATATTTTCACGAAACATGATAAAATGCCACATATTTTCACGAGCCGGGACGGCTAGAGAACATATGTGTCATTTTATCATGTTTAAAACTTTTTATTTAATTTCATTATCAAAGAAAATTGGTGACAAACCCCCTTGCTTGCTACGCAACTGTAATTGCACAGCGCGCAGTAATATATTATTTATAGATGCGTCTTGTATTGCATGCGATATTTGGCGCTACATTGTGACGTCACGTAAACAATTCTTTTAAACGTCTGTACAGCGTTAATGACTGAATTAAAGATATTGGTGTTTGGATTTATTTTCTTAGTTAGACCATTTTCTATCATTCATGTTTTCATGAACAAAATTCATCAAAAAGTTGTTTTGTATTTATCAGATTTTTCAAACAAAATGGCGAAAG